AGTGTATGTTTAATTTCTTGTTAGTCCTTTTCCATATCTTTGAGAGTCTCATTAAATTTATAAGCCTTTTTTAGGAAATTCTTGAAAAACCATATTACCATGGTTTTGAACTCTATATCCAGTCTTTTGTTCTCCATTTCTTTCATTTGAGATCTGTTTCCTTGTCTCTGTATTTTTGCTGCTTCCCTGAGTTGTAGGGTGGCTCTGTATGCTTGGTGTTCTATATGGGCCAGTGGGTCAGCCTCCCCAGTTACCTGAGGTAGACACTCTTTGTGCTCCCCTTTGTGGACTGTGTGTTCAGCCTTGTTGTAGTTAAGTGTTGATTGTTGTTGGTATCACTGGGAGGAATTGACCTCCAGGTCAATTGGATGTGAGTTTCAGCTGGGTCTACTCCAGGATACCTTCTGTATTGGAGACAGACTTACAGGATCAGACTTTCAAAATTGCAAAAGCTTCTGTGCTCAGGTTGGATGGGGCAGAGTATCAGGGCTTAGCTACCAGTCTTGGCTTCTAGTCAGCCTTGGCCTTGTGCATGTGCCTCAGACCTTTGCCTTCCACGGATCCCCTGAGTTTCTGCCTGACAGTCCCAATTCCCCCTGCAAGAGCGTGGGTGCCCCAGGGGCTTGCCTGGAACTGGGTTGGGTCTCTGTATAATACTTTTAATCCCAGGGCAGTTGGAACTGGGATTCAGTGCAGTCAGGAGCTTCCAATTCCTTCTGCTATGGAGAGGCTGCAGCAGCCTCCCAGTCAGACCTCTCTGTGTGCACTCATTCGTGCATACCTCTAGACCCTGCCTGCTGCGGCTCCTGGCTCCCCCAAGTCTCCAAGTTTCTGAGTCTCCATGTGCCTTTCTCTATAGTCCAGACTTCACCCCTATGAGCCTGGGTCCACGGGACTTTGGCTGGGACTGGAATTTAGTGCAGTCGGAACTGGGGTTCAGTGAAGTTGGGGGCTTCCTTTCCTCTCCTGCCAGCCGAGCACTCGGCCGCCTTTCCTCTCTGCACTCATGCCTCTCCCTACTTCAGCGCTTTGTGGCTCCCTTGATCCAAGAGCCTCTCTCCTTCATTCTAGTTTTAGAGTTTCCTCTCAGCCAGCTTTCCTGTGGTTTTGGATGATGTCTTTTCTGTCTTTTAGTTGTTGTTTTGAAATTGTTTTATAGGCGGCAGTTTAGGTGCTTACCCAGGTTGCCATCTTGGTTTTCTCTGGTATAGTATTCTTGAAGCAGTCCTTTGCTTTGCAGCATTTTGTATATTTCATCCCATTGCCTTCTCGCATGATATGTTCCTATTGAGAAATCAGTTAGGCTCTACAGCAGTGATTCTCCACCTGTGGGAATCACAACCCACAGGTTGAGAACTGCTAGCAGGGTTGCCTAAGACCATCAGAAAACACAGATATTTAGATTATGATTAACAACAGTAGCAAAATTAGTTATGAAGTAGTAATGAAAATAATTTTATGGTTGGGGGTTACCAAAACATGAGGACCTGTATTAAAGGGTTGCGACATTAGAAAGGTTGAGAATCACTGGTCTAATGGGAGATCCCTTGTAAGTAACTTTCTTTCTCTCTTTGGCAGCCTTTATGATTCTTACTTTATCCTTGATGTTTGCCAATTTAATTATGATATGTCTTTTTGGATTAATCTTGTTTTGCACTCTCTGTGCTTCTTGGATTTGTGTGCCTTTTTTCTTCCCCAAGTTAAGGAAGTTTTCTGTCATTATATCTTCAAATAGATTTTATAATCCTTGCTCCTCTTCTGTCCTTTTGGCTCCCCTATTATGTGAATGTTATGTCATTTTGTGTTGCCACAAAGTTCCATTAAACTGTTCTCCGGCTTTTTAAGTGTTTTTTTTTTTTTTTTTTTTTTTTTTTTTTGGTTCTCCCCCCCCCCCCCCACTTGCTGATTTGCTTGGGTGTTTTTTCTACATTTTCTTCTAACTCACTAATGTGGTCCTTAGCTTCTTTTACTCTACTGTTGAAACTTTCCATTGTGTTCTCATTTCCTCTTGCTTCATCTTAATTTTCTCTTGATTCTTAACCATGTTGTTGGATTTATCTTCTATTCTTTCCAGTGTCCTTATATCCATTGCTCTGAAATTGTTCTCTGAAAAATGCTTGCCTCTATTTTATTTATTTCCCTTTTTGATGATTCCTCCATTTCTTTTGTAGGGGAGCTATTTTTTTTTTGTCTCCCCATTTTTGCTGTTTCTTTGTTTCTTGATCACACTTCCATTTCACCAAGATTTTTTGAGTTTTTCTTATAGAGCAGATGTTCTGTGGGACTCAGTGGTGCAGTCTCTCAGATCTTCTGTGCAGGGTATGCTGAGGATGCTCTCTACTTTGGATATTTGGGTTCTCTTGGTGTAGTACAGGGCAAACCACAGCTTGAGAGCCACATGAGGCTCTTTGGCCCCTTGAGTGTGGCTCTTCCACAAAATATCACGGCCTGGGCAAGTCTATTTTGAAGAGGTGGCATTATAAGAAGTTTAAGTTTAAAAATTTGGCTCTCAAAAGAAATTTTAATCATTGTACTGTTGATATTTGGCTCAGTTGACTAAAGAGTTTGCTGATCACTGGTGTAGTACATACAACTCGAGTGTTATTGTTCCGTCATGGATGGAATCTCATCTCAGGGGGTCTGGTTATGTGGCTTACTCTCTACCCATTCTCCAGACATCCTCTGCCCTTCCTGGCTGTGAATTTTCTCACCAGCTGTTTCTAATTCCCCAATTCTGGTGGATGTTATTCTATTTAGTTGCTCCTTCTATCTGCTCTGGGACAAGGCACAGAATATATATGTCTCTTTGGCCCCCATTTTTCTCTTTTGTTTGTTTCTTGAATTCCCTCCTCAACACAGAGCTGCATGTCTGCTGCTCCCCTGCTTGCCATACTGCCTTGCCAAGTGTAGTGCTCCCTTATACCCCCCTTCTTAGATGAGAAATGGGGACTCTGCTTTGTAACAGCAGTAGGCTCAATGAAGTCAAGCTGTGAGATAATCCCTCAGCCAGGTTGGTGCCCCCAACAAGCCTGGGTCATGTGTTTTAATTTACTCTGACAATATCTGTCTTGTAATTAGTTATAGACAAAAAACACATTCTATTACTTAAAGTGTCCTGATCGCAGCCTTATTGGGCTGTGCCTGCCTCTAACACCCATGCTTCATACATTTCACAGCTCAATCACTGTCGCTTGGGAACTCTTGGGCTTCATTTCTCCCCAACCAAAGAGCAATATTCTAAAGTTTCTTTGCTTATAATGAACATTGCTATTCTTTTTTTTTTCTCCCTTTATTTTCACTAGTGACCCTTGCCTTTCTTAGCAAGTGATAATGGTAGAATTTTCCTGTTTGTTCCTTGCAAAAGAATATTGAAAAGTGGGCAAGACCAAAATCCAGATTACCTATCAGTGCCTCTGCTGGGATAAATGCACAACCATTAAACCACAATGATCTTGGCAGCAGAGAAAATGTCCAGTCTCAGCATTGGCACTGGCTTTTCCCTTTGTGTTCCTAATGGTTTCCAGGCAGGGATGTGGGTCTTATGCTCCAATATGCACTCAGCTGTTGCAGATTATTATGTCCCCCTTTTACGTCTCTCTTTAGTGATGTGAAGGCATCAGAAACTTGGGAGACTTTGTCTGTAAAGACATAAGACAAAGGATACTGTAGGGAGAAGATCTGGAACTACCCAACAGTTTTGGAGGTGAGCTTGAGTTTGTTTGTTATTGTAGAGATACCGAGGGCAGAGCACATGTGCATGAACAGGTGAGCCATGCAAACCTGGGTCACTTAACTGTACTAGAGAGCTGTATCCTATAGATCTGCATGGAATAGAGGGATGACTCTTTATCCCACCTTGTATCACCAGGTCTCAGCCCACGAAGACCTGCTTGCCCTTTATTTTGGGTTTGAAATAAAAATATCCAAACCTCTCAATTTCTTAAAGAAAAGCCTATGCTCACCCTATCAGTGTGTCAGCCAGTGAGAAGACTCCTTTTTGGAGGTAGACTTTCTGCAGGCTTCAATGGCTCCTAGGAACTCGACTCTTTAGTTAAGTGTAGTTAAATAATCCTTGGGTTTGTAGAAGACTCTGCATTCAAGTTGCTGAAGAGTCTGAATGAAGATGCAGGGAAGAAGACGTCCCTTTCTGGAAAAAATGGGCCATTCTTCAGTGCTTTGTATTCTTATGAGCACATACTCCAATATGTGTATGTGCGTGTGTGTTAGTGTGTGTGTGTGTGTGTATGTGTGTGTGCCTGTGTGTGTGTGTCTGCACTTGGGTGCATGGTTTTTGCACAGTGGTTAGGAATGACAGAGCAGTATCTTTGGGCAATGGATATATGGCAGATGAACAAATATCCGCAATATTGATTTCTATTAACATAATGTAAATGTTCAAGGCATTTTAAAAAATATGTATTTTTATTGATTTCAGAGAGGAAGGGAGAGGGAGAGAGAGATAGAAACATCAATGATGAGAGAGAATCTTTGATCGGCTGCTCCTGCAAGGCCTGTACTGGGGATCAACCTGCTTCCCAGGCATGTGCGCTTGACCGAAATCAAACCTGGGACCTTCAGTCTACAGGCGGACGCTCGATCCATTGAGTCAAACCATCAAGGCATTTATTCATGTAATTCAGCTTCAATTGAAATAAATGGGTCTGGTCTGAGGCTTTGTGTTGGCTCTGGCTCTTGATCCCCTGGAGAGACCAGGGATGATTCCAGGACCATCCAGGTCAGTGGAAAACAGGCAAGATCAACAACAGTTGTTGGGCTTCAGTAAGAGAAAAGAAGGACTCAGGGTTTGGTTGTTTTTTTTTTTTTTTTTGGGGGGGGGGGTCCGCGAAGAGGATGGGACTGGGCAGGACTTTTGTCTTTGGGTTGGCAGGTTACTGCCAGGTGCGGGACACAAGGAAAGCCTGTGGGCCTCTGAGGCACAGACACCACAGAAGAATGTGATTGTCAGGTGATGGGTCCAAATCCTACTTAGACACACTTTGTCACTCAGGACGGGCCTCCTCCACAGCCTGGAACCAGCCTCTGGAGAACAGTCTCCAAGGCTTGAACAGGACGCCCAGCAGCGCAGATATGCGCAGCTTCCAAGCCATCACCCAGTCCCACAGCTTCCACCTTCCTTGCCCCCTTGTGCTGCCCACCAGCCTCTCTGCCACCCTTCGTAGCTGTTCCTCGGGCCTTAAGAAAGCCAGCTCCTGCACCAGGCGGTACACGTCGTTGGAGTAGGGGGCACCTGCGTGGTCCGCCACCAAGCGCTCCACCAGCAGCAGCAGCTCCTGCACCTGGGCCTCCTGCTCCCTTCCCATTGCCTTGTTATTAAAGGCACACACTCGACCCCCACAATCAGACACCAGAGCCCTCAGCGCATGGTTGTCAGTGTGTTGCACATATTCCTGCAGAGAGTCCCCACCCAGGTCCTCCTTGCGCGTGAACAGCACGATGGTGCGCTTCACTATGTTGTCCCCAAACAGGACCTTGAGCGCGCTCACAGCCTGCTGGTCCTGCTCAGTGAAGCGGCCCAGCTGAGTTACCAGGAGCAGCGCATGGGGCCCAGGCGCAGATAGCAGGTAGCAGCGGGCTTGCTCCTGGCACCCTGGGTCTGTCTTAGAGACCAGGGAGCTAAAAAGGTCCGGGGTGTCCATGACTTCTACGTGCCATCTATCCCACATGCGGCTCCCCACCTCGCAGGTTCTGGTCACCGAGGTGGCTGCGAGTCTGGAGACAAAGCGCCTGTGGCCCAGGATGCTGTTCCCGGTGGCGCTCTTTCCAGCCCCTGTCTTCCCCACCAGGATGAGCCTCAGCTGGGCCTTCATGCTGTCTTCAGAGCCTAGAGGACAAGTGATCTGTGAGCTTCCAAGCCTTAAAGCAAGGAATCCTGGTTACCTGGACCCCCGGAGGCTTTTGAACAAGAACAGCAGTACCTCAACTCTGCTTTCCAATCAAAGCCTTACTGAGGTCATTGTTCAGAGCTTTCTGAACTCCAGGGGCTCTTCACCACCTTTTCCTGGTTTTACCACATGCATCTGTTGATGCTCAACACCTGGTGGGCTTTACTCTAGAGCAGGGGTGGGGAACCTTTTCTCTTCCAAGGGCTATTTGGATATTTATTACCTCATTCAGTTAATATAATTCACTTAATATAAATGTATGTTGCTATGAAAAAAGCTCCTAGATTTATTGAATTTTGAGAACTGACTGCTGTTGCCCTAGCAGGGCCAGAGCAAATAATTTAGCGGGCCTTATAAAGCCTGAGGGCAAGATGTTCTCAGACTTTGCTCCAGGGGATGCCCCTTCCTAATTCCAGGTATGGCCTCACCCATTATCCCTGCTCCCCCACAACCTGTGAGCGGCCCTATTTGAGGGTTCAGTGGCCTCTGCCATACTTCTGTCAGATTCCAGCCTGCCCATGGAAGATGGGCATGAGGGGGCAGTAGGTCTGGGCATGAAGGGCTGTCTAGAGTCCCAGACACCCAGGATTTGATTCACTGACCTTCCATGGGCCAGCTATGCCATCTTGGAAGTTGCCATTCAAGTGTTAAAACTTGGTACAAAAATAGGGATAATGGTAAAAGTTGTTTCTCCCGGGGCTTGAGAGGATTGAATGATATTCCCCTTTTCCTTCTTCCTTCTCTCCCTCCATCACACTTCCTCCTTCCCCTCCCTCCTCATATCCTTTCCCCTCCCTCATAATAAGGTGCCTGCTAATAAGACACTTGTTTAACCCTCCATGTTCTCTAACATTCTTGTGTATCCCTCTAGTGCAGGACCTGATACCGTGTACATCCTCTTCTGTGCAGATCAGAGTAGGTTTATTATCCTCATTTTACTCTTGGGTAATGGAGGCTCAGGCTAGTCAGGGAAGTTCATATTCTTCCAGCTTGACAGAGGCAAGGACCCAACTAAAATGCATGTCTCAGAGCTCTTGCTGTTTTACCTGAGACACCTCAGAGACCTGTTTGGGGTTATCCGCTTTGTTCTGAGTTTTCCCATTTTTATCATTATCCAGGGCTCATAACTGGAGATAAGTATGCAGTGCACATGTCCTTACCATAGACACTTTCTTCATCTCTTGCAATCTTCCATCCTCCCATGCTTACCTGAAAAAGTCACAAACACTGTTAATTCATCCTTCAAATAGGTATAAATACCTATGACGTGTCAGCTCAATTCCAAAGAGCTGGTGACACCACAGTGACAAAATCATCTTTCTTACTTACCCTGAACATCAGAATTGAAGGGAAAACACTGGAAGGGTTGGGAAGTGATGGGAATAATATTGTGAGAGCATTTCATGAGCTTGATTTTGTTTTTTTCAGGGACATTAAATCCAAGAGGCAGAGTGGAGATTTAACACTCATGCCAGTAAGAAAGCTATAGTTATTATTTTTCATTGGTAATTCTATGTCTGTGATAAAATCTGTAGATACTAGAATTTTCCAGGAGATTTAGAAGACGGGGGAGGCTTATGAAAACGTGAAAATTTTCTCAGTGAACTAAGGATCCAATTACTGTAGATGGCCTGGGAGATGTACAAGAGTAGAACTGGAATTTTTGTTTTGAAAATTGGAAAAGAAACATATGTCTAAGGTGATCTTGAGCCTCTGACAATGCTCTTGGGAAGTTAACTCACTGTACTGTCTCAATGAGTCTAAATATGATCAGATCAGTGTCCTGGAGAGACTGGGACGCTTCCCTCCAACTCCTGACAGCCTGCCCCCCCAAAGCAGAGGTTTCTCCAAGTAAAGTGGCTCTAGCCAATCAATCATGGTTTAACACAATGGAACCTTCTGTGCTTGCTGAGTCCCTGTGTACAATGCACAATCCCAAGTAAGAACTTGGGCATCCAGGCTGGAGGAGATATTTGCTGATGCTCCTGAAGCTACTGAGTGTGAAACTCAGACATCCTTACACACCTGGGAGTGTGGAGTTACTATTTCTAGGTCCCGCTCCCCTTCTTGGTACTTACTAGAATCAAGGTACTCACTCAGCGAGCTTTTACAGGCACTGAATTCTTCCAGGTCCTCACAGCTCCTACTCTGTGGACCACTTCCTTCCCCTGCTGAAGCTCACCTTTCCTGCAGAATTGGTGACAAGCTCTGATGCTGCCCCAGAAGCCCCTGATCTCCTGCTGTCCTCTGGTTGTGAGTTCAGCAGGCTCTTCCTCCCAGCACACAGGGAAGTGCCTTGCCTCTCAGACCTCAGAGGCAGGAAGCCCCAGGGGGTGGGGCCCAGGGGTGGCACCTTAAAGAGACAGTAACATTCACCAGTGAAGCATTGGGTTGGGATGTTCCCAATGTGAAGCCCTGCTTGAGACTGTTGTGATGTCCTCAGAAGGCCTCTGTGACACAACAGCTTGTCCCACACAGGGGCTATAACCTCAGAGAAGAGCATTTTAGGTTTCTGAGCCCTGTTAAAACTTCTAACCTTGATCCCTAATCTTAATTCTGTTTGCTTTTAGGTCTTTACCTATAAACTGGCCTCTTGAGACCCCTTTTCCTTGAAACAGTGCCACCAAGGCGATCCTTGGGCAAGGAATCACATGAAAAATCTCTTTTTCAAGGGAAAACTTTCCCTCAGGGTTTACTCTGGCTATCTTTGTAGGTGTTTCCTACTAGAAGGTCATGAAAAGGTGAGGAAAATTGCCAGTTCCTGCATGAAGGGAGGGAGACTACCTGTTAATGACCAAACCTTACCTAACTCATACACACTCCTGGAGGTGACTTTGCCCATATTGTGAGGGGTTTCACTTAACCTGAAGCTAATCGCCTGGGGTCTGATTTTCACCCATTCTTGCCAGCTCCTTATCTCTAGTGAAGAACCCAGATCCACCTACTTTTTCCCCAACAGCTTTATCAATATAGTTGATGAGGTGCCATTGTATAAGTTTGAAGTATATAATGTGTTGATTTGATACATTTATTTTTATTTTCTTTTAATAAATATATATTGCTCAGATTATTACAATTGTTTCTCCTTTTTCCCCCATAGCTCCCTTCCACCCAGTTCCCGCCCCACCCTCTGCCCTCACACCCCCCCTGCCATTGTCCTCATTCATAGGTATACTATTATAGTCCAGTATCTTCCTGCACCCCCCAAAACCCTTCCCCCCTGATAATTATCAATCCACTCCCTTTCTTTACCCCTGATTCTATTATATTCATCAGTTTATTCTGTTCCTCAGATTTTTAATTCACTTGACTTTTAGATTCACTTGTTGATATATATGTATTTGTTGATCATAATTTATATATATTTTTTTCTTCTTCCTTTTCTTAAAGAATACCTTTCAGCATTTCATATAATACTGGTTTGGTGGTGATGAACTCCTTTAGCTTTTTCTTATCTGTGAAGCTCTTTATCTGCCCTTCAATTCTTAATGATAACTTTGCTGGATACAGTAATCTTGGTTGTAGGTTCTTGCTATTCATCACTTTGAATATTTCTTGCCACTCCTGTCTGGCCTGCACAGTTTCTGTTGAGAAATCAGCTGACAATCATATAGGTGCTCTCTTATAGGTAATTTACAGCTTTTCTCTTGCTGCTTGTGAGATCCTCTATTTATCTTTTGTATTTGGCATTTTAAGTATGATGTGTCTTGGTGTGGTCCTCTTTGGATTCCTCTTGTTTGGGGTTCTGTGCACTTCCTGTCCTTGTAAGTCTATTTTTTTCACCAGGTGGGGAAAGTTTTCTGACATTATTTCTTCAAATGGGTTTTCAGTATCTCGCACTTTCTCTTCTTCTGGCACCCCCATAATTCTGATGTTGATAAGCTCGAAGTTGTCCCAGAGGCTGTTTACACTATCTTCAACTTTCTGGATTCTCTTTTCTTCTTGCTTCTCCAGAGGAGTGTCCTTTGGCTCTTTGTATTCCAAATCTTTGACTTGATTCATGTGGTCCTCCTGTCTGCTGTTGGATCTCTGTGTATATATATTTTTTTATTAAGTCAGTTTATGTTTAAGTCAGTTTATGTTTAATTTCTTGTTGGGTCTCATTAAATTTATCAGCCTTTCTAAGAAATTCTTGAAAAACCTTATAACTGTGGTTTTGAACTCTATATCCAGTCTTTTGTTCTCCTCCATCTCTTTTGTTTGAGATCTATTTTCATTTCTTGGCATTTTCGCTGCTTCCCAGAATTGGTAGGGTCACTTTGTGTGCTTGGTGTCTTATATGGGCCAGTAGATCAGCCTCCCCAGTTACCTGAGGTAGACACTCTTTGTGCTCCCCTTTGTGGACTGCATGAATAGCCTTGCATTAGACATCCAGGCCCATTAGACTTGATTGTTGTTAGTATTACTGGGAGGAATTGACCTCCAGGCCCATTATATGTGAATATCAGCTGTGTCTACTCCAGGATACCTTCTGTATTAGAGACAGTCTTATAGGATCAAATTTGCAAAATTGCAAAAGCCTCTGTGCTCAGCTTGGATGGTGTGGAGTCTCAGGGCTGAGCTGACATTCTTGGCTTCCAATCAGCTCTTCCCTTCTGTGTTGCCTGAGTTTCCGCCTGAACTCTGCCTTCCCAGGCTCCCGTGAGATTCCACCTGACCATTCAGATTCCATGCAAGAGTGTGGGTGCCCAAGGGGCTCGCCCGGAATTGGGTTGGGTCTCTGTAGTCTGTAGCTTCTGACTCCTGCTATGGAGAGGCCACAGCAATCTTTGATGTCAGACCTCTCTGCATGCACTCACTGGTACACCTGACTGCTGCGGCCTCCGGCTCCCCTGGTCTGCCACTTTCTGAGTTTCTGGGTGCCTTTCTCTACAGTCCAGACTCCACTCATATGAGCCTGGGTCCACGGAATTTTGGCCGGTTTGGGGTTCAGTACAGTCGGAAAGGGTTCAGTGCAATTGGGGACTTCCTTTCCCCTCCTGCCAGCCAGGCATTCGGCCACTCATGAGCTTAGCGACTCCCAATCTGATCCATGAGCCTCTCTTCTTCTTTCTAGTTTTAGAATTCCCACTCCTCCAGCTTTCCTGTGTTTTTGGATGATATCCATTCTGTCTTTTAGTTGTTTTGAAATTGTTGTGCTACGTGGCAGGTCACTTCTCAGCACCCAGGTCACTCTGAGGAAGGCGCTTGAGTCCTGAACAATCTGAGAAGGGCCTGAGCCATGGAGCTCCTGGGCAGGGGTGGAGCCCATGATTGGAGGGAGCCGGGGGGCCATTTCCCAGGCCCCAAGCCTTTGCCAGAGGCTTAGCCCTAGGCAGGGATAGAATGGGTTATTGGAGAGAGCTGGGGGTCCCCTGCCCAGGCCCCAAGTGTGGGGAGCAGGCCTAAGCCACAGTCTGGTCTCCCTTTGTGGGAGATGACCAGGCTGATCATGAGAAGGCACCAGCCCCATTACCCTGCTGCTGCAGCCACTGCCAGTCACTGCAGCCTCCAAGGTGTTTTCATCAACATGAACTCCATTACCTTCAACATAAAAAAATAATAACTTTCTTTAGGCATTTTCAAGATGTCGCTTTCATAAGAAATGACATTTCTTTCTTTCTTTTTTTTTTTTCTCCCTCACCTGAGGATATGATTCCATTGATTTCTAGAGAATGTGAAGAGAAAGGGAAAGACAGAGAGAAACATCAAATTGAGAGGAACACTTTGATTGGATGCCTCCTGAATGATCCCTGACCTGGGCCCCAGCCAGGGAGGAGCCTGAAACCTTGGTACATACCCTTGATCAGAATCTAACCCAGACCCTGAGGTCAGTAAGCCTAGGCATTATCCACTGAGCCAAACTGGCTAGGGCAGGATATGACATTTATTGGCCTCCAGCAGCAGACCCTCATTTTTTTTTTTTCTTGGAGTGTGGTAAATAAGATCACCTTTTTGAATTCTCTTTACCCAAGTTACTAAGGATATTACCAGTGGCATATAGGGAGCTTAGCCAATGAGCACTTAGAAAAGGTATTTACTCTGTAGTTCACCCTTATTGCCTCCAATCGCTGGCTCCACCCCTGCCAAGGCCTAAAGCCTCAGACCTGGGCAGGGACCCCCAGCTCCCTCTGATCACGGGCCGTGCCCCTGCCCAGGTCTCAAGCCTCTGGTAGGGCTTGGGGCCCAGGCAGGGGACCCCCAGCTCCCTCTGATCACAGGCT